CCCTCAGCCAGGGTCAACCCACCACAGTGACCACTTCTGCTGAATATGTGGCCTAGGGTATTGAATTTTCTGAGGTATTTGTAATGTTGACCAGGAATGAGACAAAAGCTGTCGTACAAAAATCTTAAGGGTTACAGTTAAACCTATTGCAGGTGACGTACTTATCAACATCCAATATTAGAAGCTATGATCTCACATACTTCAGTGTCTCCAGTGGGAAAAACTCTTTATATCTAAGATGATCAGCCCACTGGGTGTCACTGTTACAACATTAATATATAGCACGAAGCTTAATTTAACAAGAAATGGAAGTAGACTCTTTATATGGTTTCACACTTTTCCTACAATAGCCTAACATAAACCCCAACTTATTACAGTTGTACTTGTTTTTCATTATGCTAGTAAATTCAACAAGTTTTACACATCTGGAATGCAAGAATAAATTTACTATTGATCTATCAAATAAAAATGCTAGAGAAGCGGTTTGAGTAGGATAGGCAAATAATCGAATCAAGTGGAATTTCGGGATTTCTAAGTGTCACCAGAACCTTTTTTCTGTAAGTTCCTTGTGGATAATTTTTGACTGTTAACTTTTAGAGTATGCAGATTCTTTTTTTAAAAATGGACAATAAATAGCTGTTACACAAAGAAAGGCAACGAGAAGTCAGGATAAATTTGACAGACACATTTTGTCCTTTGAAAATTTGAAAAGGTATGCAATGCTGTGGTCTGCAAAAAAATATATTTTTTTAGGGACATTTACAATTTCAAGTCTTACAAAAGCAACATTTCTACAGCAGTGAAAAATCAAAAAAATACCTGTTCAGAACAAACACTTATGGGCTCTCTCAGAACAATCCAGATGACACTCTCAAGAAGAGGTGGAACAGTGAGGGAGCCAAAGTAAGTCCAGTAATCCAGAGACTTGGGAAGGAGACAGCTAGGATCGAAGTTTGTAAATAGTGCTCTTTTACCCTGCAAAGAAGGTAAAAAAAAAAGAAGCTCATGGTGGTTCTAGCTTAAACATATTTAGAAAATTATTTCTTACACAAAGTTAAAAAGAAGGAAAAAATGGGGCAGTATTATTTAAAAGCAAGAGGCCAAGATAAACCACGCCGAAGGAGGCAGGGCTTGTTCCACTATGAGTTGGGCTGGCAACATCCTGGATGATCACAGCAGGTGAGCCAGTGCCCTTCTGATGAGGTCTTACTTCTGTGACAGCTTTGCTGCTAGCAAGGACGCCATCACAGGCATCGTAATAACATAGACTCCCCATAGTTACAAATGGCCGTGGCTGATCTCTCTCTAACAATAGCTTATTTCTCACCCTATACCTCAGCAAAACAGGGGAGGAAAACTGTCCTGCATCTTTTTCACAGCTTTCCACAAAGTATGTTTTTCTCCTGTTAATATTCTCATAGCACCAGATTTGTCAAGTTCTGTGAGGAATTGGCTTTCTCCTCTGACCTCTTACTGTATAAAAATTATTCTTTGTCTGCTTAGTTTTCAACTTTACCTAACAAGAATGCTCCTGAAGTGTCCCAAATGAGACTTAGATATGGATAGCTATGAAACTAGGGACTAGGGAACATGAAGGTGAAGGCAGCAGCAGCCAGGTTACCAAAAAACCCAAAACAACAAAAGCAACCACCTGTATTAGTATTCTTTTAGAAACATTCATTCACCTTGATTCTGATGGTGTCCAAGCGGTCAGTAATCTTCTTCAGCTGAGGGTTGCATTCACCAATCTATTAACACCAGAGAAAAAAGAAATACTTGAGGTCCAGAGAAAAACAGCAACAATAAATCATCAAAAAGCAAATGAATAATGAAATTGTTTTATATAACTTTACCTAAGTGACTGTGAGAACTGACGGATTTTGTGAGTACGAGCGTGTGACTAGCTGGTCCTTAGAAATAGTACTGGTTGTAAAGAATATCCACTCCCTTGCTCACAGTATGTTTCTGGCTACTCACAGTAATTATTCCAGCTACAAAAGACCCACAGCTTTACACTGCAGGGAAATAAAAGCAATTTATTTTTCATGTTTTATATGCAGGATATTAAAATTTTCAGGCTTACATCTGAAATTTAAATTGCTTAAAGCAGTGAAAACATCATTCTTACGTAGTCCAAGCAGAATCTGTGTGCTAAGAAATCCAGTGAAACTTTCCTTGCCATCATTATAATGTAAACTGGAGAGACAGAATTACTGAAGCAGTTCTTTGCAGCTGCTGCATGTAATAGCTTACTGACTGCGCCAGCACCAGCTGTGCCCAGGAAGCTGTGGCAGCCAGGCAGAAACTACAGGTTTGACCAAAGCCCTATCCTTTGTCATGGATTGTGCGAATTCTCCATCTGCTTCTTCGTACAGAATTCAATGAAGCTGTTGCAAGAGTTGCATTTCATCTTAGGATACGTGCAGGAGGCAAAGAAGCGTATAACAATTACAGTGCAGTCCTCCAGATTCTGGGGTGGTTTGGGGGTTTTTTGAGTTTTCAGAAGAAACTGTCAGCTCAGAAACAAACTGTTAAAGAAGCATTTGAGCCAAATCAGATCACCCTCCTAAAGAAAGCCATTAGTCAAGCACAAGTTATTGGGATCCATATAGGGGCAGCTGAATTAAGTTCCACATCTTACATTGTACAGGAGTGCAGACTAGGCAAACTAAAGAATCTCACTGTCTTGAAAATCTGATATTCTGATATTTTTAATCTTCAAGGAAGCACAGCTTTCTAAACTGGAAAGCAAACAGTATGAGGAAAGAGTATAATTTCATGTCCATATAAAACAACTATCTCTTTACCAATAATGATATCAACCATCACCATTATCCCTTTGAGCTCAGAATGCAGACTTACTAGGAGGGCTGAGGCATTCTTTTCTTACCTTCAGAAATACAGCCATGACTGCTAATCCATCTGACTGACGAGCTGCCTCAACAAAACTGGAATACTTTTCTGAGTTCCAGTGAACCACGTGAAGCTGAAAAGCAAGAGACACGGACAGCATCAACTCCCGCTGAACTCAAATAATCACAAATTAATACTACAACTTTACTGGTTTTGATACTCCACTCTTTTGTATTCAGAGGCATTCAGTTTCCTAAATGCAAATATTTTATGAAACTGGTAAATGCGTAGTTCATACAAATGGCAAAAGCATTTCCAGTGGCTGGGATTATTCAAAATTTAGCAGCAACCAGCACACCACAGTGCCTAGCAAACTGCTGTTGGGTCCCCAGATTTTGAAGAGAGAAGCTAAGACAAGATATCCCATGGTTACATAACTAAAGCTTTTAAATCCATTTTTAGTACAGCTGATTTTAAAAAGTAATTGAAAATCATGAGGATGTCATTAGTCTTTTGCTCCTCTTTTTCCTTAGTCAAGCTTTCAGTAACATTAATCAGCCACATAAATAGCTAGAAAACAGGCAAAGGAACACACATTAAACTTGCACTGACCCCTTTTCTCTCGTTTAGTTTAAGCTGAATGTCAAAATTTCATTTTTGATACTTTCCAAATGTCATTTTCTATGATTACCAGTAGTTAGGCACTTAGAAGCAGCTTGAATATCTCAAGTTTGAGCATTTGCATTTCCAACATGCATTATTCTGGCCCTGTCCTGTGGTAGTTGCTTAAGCAGCTTAAAGACACCACCTAGCCAGGTGGGGAAAGGAAAAGCCTGTGATGTCTACCGCCATACCACCTCGGTCCCTCCTGCTAAGCCAGGTTTCCTAAATCCTGGCCACACTCTGCAGCGGGAGCTCCTGGTTCCCGGGAAGCACCAGGACATCCCAGCCTTGAGCAACGGTCCGACTGCCAAACTGGAGAGAGCACAAACACTCACACAGCGCTTAAGACTAAGTACTTCACAAACATTGATTACTCTCGGAAGTCCTCAGTGGATTAGTAAATCTTACTACCCATAGTTTTTAGACAAGGAAAGATAGGGTCAGAGACAGGGCATGGGACTGGCTTTTCTAAAACTGGTGACCATCTTTTCAGATTTTGAGGGCTGAAAAGCAGCTCCACCAAATAACTTAAACTGGGATGAATCCCTGAAAAAAAAGGCTTGCTTTTGGAATACAGCACTTCAAGACCTCTAACGTAAGAGCAATTTAGGAAAGCTGGAACTTGCTTTAAAGGCTTTCTATGGGAAACAACATAGCTGTGTGGTTGAAATAGGAATCTAGGAGTGTGAAGATTTTGACTCTAAAGCTCAATCTTTGCCTAATCTCTATGAGTTTTAATTTTCCGTATCTGCAAAACAGAGCTGTTACTTGGTGTTACAGGGTATAATTAATGTTTGTTAAGCACTTGGACTCTAAAGTGCCAAAACATTACTTCCAGGAATCCCACTGAAATCAGTAATAATACATGTATGCTGACGATGAAACACATGCTGGCTCACAGCTTCAGAGATCCTTGAAGGAAAGTTGCTAAAAATATTGTCAATTAAACCGGGAGGAAAACACAGTCCACTAAACCATTCTCAGATGCATTAGTATCCTGGAGCTCATAGCACCTGCACCACTCACTATTATAAGTTCACAAAAGCTACGTTGAACAACTTTTAAACAAATACAGTTTTACATACACAAAAAGGAAACAGATACTCTCAGTCAGAATTGACTTTTATTGTGGATTTTTAAAAAGGCAAAAAAACAACAAAGAACAAAAAGCAAAATTCCCGCAGCTAAAGCCCACTCTCACTCCCTCATAGCTTTGCCAAAGAAAAAAACCCCAAAAACCCAAACCAACCTCCCTAAAAACCAAAACCCCCAAACAAACAGAGCTGTGAAACACTTTTGGGTACAGCCCCATTCTCAACGGCTTGTGACTTCTCTTTAAGGAATATATCCCGTCTTACCACCGCTCTGTCACTGCAGCTTGTGAAGAGACCTTGATCAGACCATACGATGTCAGAAAGAATGGAGCCATGGATCCCTTCTGCTTCCCGGTGGGATTAAGGGGGCTGAACTTTGCAGTCTTCTTTACCTGTACACTAATTCTTTCTTCGACTTGGTCGATGCTTTTTCTTTAAATCTGACACATCTTCCTTATGAAGGTGAGCACTGAAACCATCTTCACGTCTCCTTCTGAAGTACTTTCTTTCATGTGAACAGTGCTCAGAAGCTTTGATCTTAATTCTGGATTTCTTATCTCAAAGCCAAAATGCCATCTAGAGAGCTTCTTGTGGAGGGTTACCCAACCAACAGGTAACGGAAAGGTTTTTAGACTGGCTAGAAATTCAGAGATATTTTCTCCTTCCATTTGGTTTCTTAGATGGGAAACATATATATATTTTCTCAGCTAGAAATTTGGTTTTGGTACTTAATGGTTTTAAAGCACCTCTATTAATTCTTTATATTCCATCTCACCTGGTTCCTGTGGAAAACATAAGCCTTTAAACACTGCAAATGTCACTTTTCCCCATTAGTGTTAGAAAACTGATTTTTTTTTTCTGACCACTATCTCTTATAGCATTTCCAGTAAAATCTGATCTCACCACTGTGCATACATTTAATTTTTTTCTTCTTTAGTATTATGTCTTTTATTTGTCCATTACCATTTATTTTTATACTTTTAACTTCTTTTTTCACCCCAGAAACCTCTTCACTGTCTGAACTATTTGTTGTTAAAGATCTCCGTCTCATCAATATACTCCACGTTACTTCCATTTGCAAAGAGGAATCAGATACTGCATACTTTTTTACTGTAGACTACTCAAACGCACCGAAGGAGACAGAGCAGGAGCGAACTCTCCGTGCCAGGGCAGACGATGCCCTCCTCCCTGCGGCACGCCGCCTCCTCTGAAACGCAGTACCTCCACAGACAGCAGGCACCCCACACATATTAAGGTACGGTTCCCAAAGAAAGTCATAACCATCACATTGCTAAGTGCACCACAAAATGCAACACTCCTAAGTCTTGCATAAATTTTACACTGCACAGGCCCCAAATCAAATAGTTCTGTGGTTTGTGACTGAAGCTGACTTTGAAAATATTCTCCAAGGAAGAGACAGTGAAAGACAAAGTTTAAAATAACTCTTGAACATTAAATCTTGCTCTTATCAAGCTCTTGTCTTCTGCACTCCTTTTTTAATCCTCTCCAAAGCTTTCAAATACATCCTCTTTTGAGAAAGGACCAAACATGCAACAGTTCAGGAAGACCTCTTGTCTTTCGGTAAAACGGGGGGGAGAATGAAAAGCGGGAGGAGGAGGGGCAACATCATTCTTACAACGGAAAACTAGTCACAAGCTTAGAGGAACGGATGACTCCATGTAAAGCCTTACCTCTGCCGCGTACTTCATCCCATCCACCGCATGCTCGGAGCCGGCTTCGTCGTTAGACCCCCAATGGAAGTGAATCTGTCGCAGCCTGTAGGTCCCACTGAGCGGCCCCCCGGTCAGCACTGGAAACCCAAGCAGAGGGAAAGGCTTCACTGCGGGAACGGGAGCCGCTACCCACATCCTCTAACCTCACACCAGGCTTCGGTCTTCCGGCAGTGCCCTACTCCTTCTCAAAAGCTGTCTCAGATGGCTTCCCATTTCTTTGAAGTTCTACAGAAACCCTCACTTGTCCAGGATATGACTTTCAAAATTGCATTTATGTGTAGATTTAGTGGGTTATGGCCCACTAAAGGGTATGTTGCTATCACCAGGTTTGTTTTGCTAGGGACTGGATGTTTCTCAGAAGATGGGAAAACACTTCTATTTTGCACGTGGTTCCCTCTCCTGAATGTATTTAAAAGAATCATTGAGAAATTAACCTTAAGATATAGGTTTTGTGAATACAGGGGAGGATCAGAGAAATACCATGTGAAGAGAATTTCTTCTTTTTGAAATCTGGAGGAAAGTACGTGGTGCTTAAAAAAATTTTTCAAGGCTTTTTCCTTCATTTGCAACTAGAACCAGTCACATCAGATTGAAGTCTGAGAAAAAGGAGCATATATTAACATAAATAAAAAAACCCCAACACTACATATGCATTGTACTACTGCAATATTACTGACACTTAACTGGCCATTTTTTTCAGGTTAACAGGCATATGGGTGGGCTTTTCATTGTTTTGTTTTTGCAGGTGCTTGTCTTTTGCTAATCAGAGTTGGAACCAAAACATCTCTGCACAGAGACTTGAACGTGAATCACATTCAGAAAGATTCTTTATTCACCGCAAAATAAAATCGCCCCACTCTCCCATCTCTGTATCTCCTCTCAGGGTTTGGGAATTAGGCTGGGCTGGTTTACTGGCTCATTATAGAGATTTTAAGGGGAAAGGATGGGAGCTTTAACTGGATGGCTTTTCAATTAAGAGCACTGGGGAGGACAATAGTCATTTTTTTTTCTCTCTTCTAGGTTTAGTCCAAAACCTAAACTTTGTTAGGAACTAAATACCACCAAATAAAGACAAAAGAAGAATTTCTTAAGTTGCCTATTTGCTAACACAAGTAGCCTGGCTAATGAAAAGGAACTGGAACTGTTTATCTGTAGGGAAACCTTGCAACTTCAACTCAAAACCATGCTTTTACAGAGCCTATAAACCAAGTGAACAAAGGGGCTGGGGAAGTGGCACTCCTAAAACAAATTCCTTCTTTCAAGGACTGAAAACTTGGAGGCAAATGATCCTAGACATGTGTAAAGATCAGTGTTCTAACTGGCTGAGGGAAAACAATTACGTAGAAATGCATCAGCATTCAATGAAATACTTCTGCTGAAAAATGTGGAAAACGGCCTGTTGACGTATTTGTACCACATCATACAGTGATGGTAAAACCCTTCCTTCCATTCCAACAGTAATTAAGGAAGAGGTTATTCAGAAGCTATTTAAGGCAAATATCAGTATCTCAATGTTTGAAAAGAGCTGGAAGAAGAGGTCTTTGAAACATCAGTAGGCCAATTTCAGAGAATGGAGCTAATGTGGTACCAAAGATAAATAGAATTACACAAACAGTTACAGACTTGACAGCCCAGTTTCAATGCTGGCCAAAGTGAAGAAATAGTTCATATGGAAGTCAGTTAATAATGTATTAAAATATGCTAATGTATTTAGTACCAATTAGTTTGATTTTTTTTTCCCCATAAAACCACCATATGGCAGGACTGCTTACTTCACAGGGGTGCCCCAGAGGCCAAATTTTGGCCCTAGAAAATTCAGTATTTTTTGATCAATGACCTGAAAGAAAACAAAAACATTACTGATAAAGTTTGTCAGTGGCAAATATTAGGGAAAATAGTGAATAACTCAGTTTATGGATACAGAAGGATTTGAATTCTTTGATAAGTAAGGAGTAAACCAAAATGTAAAGCCACGTATGTGGACTGAAGAATCTAGTCCATACATAGAAGACATGGAGTCTCCTGAAGGAGACTGGGTATTACATTTGTTAATTATCTGACCAACATTGGTCAGTGCTTTGCCATGACATGAACTATATCCTTGGAGATATGGCCTGAGGAAAGCAGTAAGAGGATCACGTTACCACTGCTTTGGTACCAGTGTAAGCCTACAGAAATACTGTGTTCAGGCCCTGTCACTTCATGGATGGAGTTAGAAAGTGGAAGAGGTTCTTGGTGTATTCATATTCATATTTATTACTTAAAAAAAAAAAGGACTTTAAAGGCTGAGTTGATCTAACTCACACTAGAAATAAAGTGTGATTTCAATTTTTTTTTAAATTGTGAGGGTAATTAACAATTAGAACAACTTACCAAAGGCTGTGGTAGGTTCATCATCGCTGGAAATTTTGAAATCAAGATTGTATGTTTTTCTAAGAGATGTGCTTTAGTTCACCCACGCCTACTAGGCTTGAAGAAGAGATTAATTCTGGGAGGTCCCATGGCACCTGACACACACGAGGTCAGACCAGATCACTGATGGTCAGCGGATGGCTTTCAGGCAACATCCAATGTTACTTGTATCAACAGGAAATTTAAGAATCAAACTAAGACTGTCCAGGAAAGCAAAGTATGATGTTGTCTCCATCTAGGTCTCTCCCTGTTGCCACTATAAGCCAGTTCCTCAGGACTAATGGACAAGGTGATGACAAAGTAGTCCACCTCTGGCTTTAACCCTTGTCAATGCACCATACGGGCTTGGATCCTCGGCTAAGCCTCATGCAACCACAAGAGGATTTTATTGCTCGTAGAAACTGCACTTCTACAGTTTCAAGGCAGGGTGTGCTAGCTTGCCTACCATCCAAGAGAAGGTTTTAAAGATGAAGGCACTAACATTAAAAAGACTAAATAAGAACTTCTAAATAAGGATTATTGCTTTCAAAAAGGGAAGCTACATACTCCTAGAAAAAGACTGAGACAATAACTCTTTTCAGAGAAGAAAAAGGATCACATGGGATATATTTCATTTGTTCTGTATTGGCTCTTTCCTGACACAAGAAGTCCAGGTATGGATGGTAAAAAAGTGAAAAAATATATAACCAAACCTGCAGCTAAAGTCAGATAAGAGACTTGAGCGATTCGGTTGGAATGAACCTGTAATGAGACACAAAGGATTCATCTGCAGTGAGAGAGAGCAGCATTTGAAAAATTGTACACAACACTGTTCAAACAGGGGGGCTGGCACTATTTAGCTGGTTGGGGTGGATCAAACCATCCCTGTGAAAAGGGAATCCTAGCACTTTCTCAGAAACGCAACCTCGAACTCGTGTCCAAATATGTTCCCACATTGTATCATGCTGAAAGTCAGGGAAAAAAGGAATCTCTCATTCGGAGGAGCAAAGCCTTACTGTTTACGAGGAGTTCATACCTGGCAGTGAGACATGCCCAGGCTGTATATGTACAGTCTACTCAGGAAATGGCGGAAGAAGACACAGTGCAACAGGAAAGGAACAAACCTGATTTGTTGACGGTGTCATCAAACTCAACACTGGTGGAGTGCCCGTTGTTAAGGATGATTTTAGCAGAAGCCGGATCGTAATTGGGATTTAGAGGACGGAGAGAGGGATCATACTTGGTTTCCTCAGTTTTGATGTCGATGGGTGACTGACGGTCTCCATTAGCGACAGGAAAAACCTCCTTCCAGTGGGCAGGCCCTGCAATGCATTGGAGGAGAAGTCTAAACTGATGGCAGTGCCCTGCTTGTACAAAAGAAGACTCTGCTTGAATTGTTCTTGTTTGCATCTTTTAAATTCAAAAAGATGCATCAGAATAACACAGATCAAAATATTCAGCTACTTCTGCTGCACCACATTGCAACAGCAGCTCTCAAGACCCCTTTACCTACCTTGCATGGTGCATCTAACTGTATTTTGCCTTCGAACAAGGCCGCATGCAGTAGGTAGACACTTATTTATTCATTGTTAAGACTCAACTATGCACAAGACATATCCAACAAATGCCCATTCAGATCAAGCATGCTGTACCCAACAGGCACTATGCCCCAATAAATTCCTAACATGCCATTTTTGCCTAATATCACGTCTCGTTATGTCTTAAGGTATTACCTCTTACCTATCCAAAATCCCTGCTTTAAGGGTTTATTTATACCTTAGTCACTGCCTGCAAAAGACCTGAGAATGCATCTTCTACTGACCATGCTGAACGAGATGGGGAGACGATAAAAAGGCTGAGCGGTGCGTGGACTCTCCTGGGGCCTGACGGCAGTGCCTGTAACCTAGGCATCGCTGCACAACCCACCGCCTCCTCCCAACCCACCAACCCTGCAAACCAGCTGTCACAACACAAGAAAGAGACTATGGTTAATCTAGACTAACCATAAAGTCTGTGCACACGCAGACACACACACATGCACACACGCGCTAGTATAGCGCTGACAAAACCAGTAAAGAACAGGAACACTCAGGAGAGCGGGTCCTGCACGAGGATTGGATTTCTACCACCTCCTGCTGATAAATAACAGTAGATCTTCCAGACACAGACTTGCACCACCATTCAAAAGAATTAGCTAGAAATTAAAAGACTGAAGAAGCTGTTAATCAATACAAGTGGTCTCGAGTTAACCTTCCTCTCCATGCAAGCTAAGCCAAAAGGCAGCTGAAAAGCATTGTCTCAGTAAATCAACAATATGGATATGAGAAAAGTGGCAAATGTAATTCCAAAATAGTAAGAAAAGCTTCATTGATGAGATGTGTGAGATATCTGTTCTTATCTACTAAACATCAGAGAAACCCCATAAGAATATATGTGCCATTGTTGAACCATATTTTAATAATAAACAATGCGGAAAGAGGCCAAAGAAGAAAAATAGGAACAATAAGTTGTTATAAGGTAAAGATAGCAAACAAGATTTAGGATGGAAAAGAGGGTAAGGGAAAGGGGAAAGGGGAAAGGGAAAAGGGAAATGTCTTCAGGGCTAATGATCTTTCAGTATTATAAAGAGCATAGCACTTATTTTTCCTCCAGGCTTATCATGGGTAAGAAGCATAATAAATCAACTAAGAGAGACTGGACATAAGAAAAACTGAGCATCAGAACCTGATCTTGTAAAATCTGCATGACTGGAAATCCTCATAACTCCCTATATTGAAGGTAACTGATCTCAGTCTAAAAATCAGCTTGTTATTTCTGGATAGTTTAGCACTTAAATAAACAGGACGACAGAAAGGCATTAAAATATATTATTATGCTGTGATTAATAGCCTAACATCAAAAGTTGTCAGTTTTGTCTCCTGAACTTCAACAGAAGTGAGCGCAGCTCAGAAACTCACAGGTGCCAAAACCACCCAAGGGCCCCAGCAGCAACTCGGGGAGGGAAGGGTCCCACGGCGCCGTGGGGAGGTCGCCTGCACAGCCACCCCAGCAGAGCCTGGCTCTCCTCTGAGCAGCACCAAAAAATGGAAGAGGGAAGGAGCAGCTTGTAAAGACCAGCCTAAGACTTAAATCTCTGGTAGAACAAAGGCAAGGGCCTTCAGTCTCGAGGGTTTTTTTAAAAGTCCTTTTGTTAATGACTTCATTAATGAAACTCAGTAAGCAATCCACTTCTAAGGCAGAAGATAAAAATCCTACTGTTTTGAAATATAAAGCTGTTTAAACTTAATTCTTCTCACTTCACAAACGGTCATCAAAGCTATTCAATGTTTTCATTACATACAGTTTAGCATATGATAGAATTTTAATTGTGTTTAGAACCTAGTACCTTCTAGTTAGAGATGCAATGTACAATTTTATTAATTGAAGAAGCACCACTCCATCATTTATACCTAAGTAACTGCTGCGATTTAAGATGCTTAGAAAAAACTTATTGCTACTTCATTTTAATGCTTAGGATATTCCTAAGCTGAGGAAAGGCAAAATATATTTATGTGCTTAACTACTTGGTCCTATTGCTCCATCTCAGCAATAAGTATAGTTATTGTACAGTAAATAATATGAATTATTTGCATTCACAAACAATATGAATGTACCAAAAAGAGGACCCAAGGCTGTGATTCTGGCGTTAGCTAATTATTCAACCATAAACTTCAGTTCTAAAAAGACATTGTACCTGCTTTTGTACTTGTCCTTAGCTCAGATGACCAAAATAATCTTCTACTTTGGTGATTAAACATCTGTCAGTAACACAAGACTGCCAGAAATCTGACCTTCAAAATATACAGGAAAATATCAAGAAATTTCAGCTCATTTTCTACGACTTGGTTATATCAAGAGGTATTCCTTACTGGATTACCAACCAGCAATCTAATACAATTATCATACCGTTGCCAGTCTTGGAAAACTGTGGCTCAATGCATCACTATGGACCCCATCCCAAAGCAAACATTATCTATGACTGTTGGAAAATAACACATTACAGTTGGAAGAACATGGAGATGATGCTCAAATGCATGTCATACAATCTGATTTAAGGCAGTGGGATCTCCAGGGTGAAAATGTCTTCTGAATTTGGACCTGAATTATATGCCTCTGTCTCAACATAATGTACAATTTAATTTTCTAGATACTTAAGACATACCCAGGAATGTGTAACACTGATTCACCTCCTTTCATTTTTTAATTTACTGAAGGGACTTGATTAAATATACCGATTTTTGAACTTAGGAAATTCCCTCCTGCTGATGGGAAAATGTTCTTTTATTAGAGGAGATTACCTAGTAGCTCTTAACAATCAAAGCTGCTGTGACCAAGATTTAGGACAAAAACCCCTGAACCATCTGCTCTGAAGATTGCATGCCTTTATTGTGGACATGCAGTTACCAAACGTCATACACACCGCTGTCACTTTTAGATTAGACTATTGCTGCTTATGGTACCCACCAGCATTGCACATATTCAGCTCATGAACTAAGGAAGGGCAGTGATGAGTTTGTCAGGAAACACAGCTCACTATAGTGCCTAACAGCAAGAGCTTTTTTACCCAGCTGGAGTTAAAAGGGATGACTTTCATCAAAAGGCTAGACTAACTTCAAACGAGCTTCATGGAGACATCACGGAATACGGTTCAGTTGCAATGAGCCTCTATACTTGCATAAATAGAGTACGTATGTAAAAGTGAATTATTTTTTTTGGACAGCTTGCTATTATGTGCAGAAAGTTTATTAGTTTGGTATGGTCTGACCTTTGCAGGATCACAACTTCATTTCTTCGTAAAGAAAATTCACTGCCCAGTTTATCATACACAAAATGCTTAAATTTATAAGGTTAGCTTTGCAAGTAATTTACTTGCACATTAGGTTACAGTAAGATTAGATATAATAAAAAGAATTGGAAATTCATAACGGGTAAAATTAAGTGCTGTTGTTTAAAGCAGACATCAAAATTATGTAATTATTCAAGAGAGGAGAAAAAATAAGGATTTCGTAACCCTTTTGATTTATAAAACACCTCAGTGTTATAGTTGTAACTATTCCAAGACACATTATTGCAGTAAAACACATGTAAGTACTTTCCATATATTTTATTAAACAAATAGTAAACTGAAGGCAATTGATTCTCGATTTGTGTTTTAACTAAGGCAGTTCCCCTGTTAACTAAGGGGACTGTTTCTGTGAAGGGGCGAGAACATTCCCCTCTTCACAGGAACCCTGATGAGCTAAGAAAAGGATGCATGATGGATGCCACGCTGAAGCCAGTTTTCAAGATCTCAGTATTACGCCTCCGTACATAAGCACCATCAAAACGGTGAGGCAAGAACAGTGGCAAGAAAGCAAAGGCCAAGGTTTGCATAGAAATAAAATAACGCCTCTCTGCATTTCAGAAACATGTGCATCAAGGTAGGGGAGAACATTTAGTTCTGTGTATACCAGTCAGACCATGTCCTTATACAGAGATATACCATATATGCAGACATTTATGTGTAATATTTGACAGTTTATGCACAGAATGATTTGTGTTGTGGTTACTATTGCTAAGGGGCAATTTTCTCCCCCCCAGTTTATAAAAACAGTGCTTTTATCACTGCAAGTAACACATGCAGAACTCAGAGGGAATGCAGATATCTTTCTAACTCTTCAGGAAGTCAACTTTAACATATGACTGCACCAAATTTAATTAATTTCACTTTGTTGCTACCTCCTTAGTTGCAAAAGCTAATCTTAGTCTCAGGAAAACTATTCAGGGCCATGCAGGGCAACAAATTTTTTCAAGAATCAGAGCAATCTGCATTTGTTGTCCAGCAAAACAAGAAACCAGCAAAACGAATAAAATAAATGCATAAAAAGAGAAAAAGCTGAGAAATAAAAGTGATGCTGGGGAAGAGCAGTGAAGTGTTGGATATCCACACTTCTCTCCTTTAGCCTCCTGTGAGAGGTGGAGGAAAGGGGATGCACTGATGAAGAACTACCCACCTCAGCTGCTGGGGCTCCAGGAGAGGAGGAGAGCAAGAAAGTCAAACTCCACCCCAAATATGTTATCAGCCAGTAAACAGAGTTTTATAGGAGAAATGGGGCCTCAAAAAAGGTCCAGGGCTGCCCCGATAGAAATTCTGGTGCCCTCCCCTTCCTAGAAGTTAAGGATAGCAAAGGAGGAGGGATAGGATAAGGGAGGGAAAGTGGGCTTCTTATCTGAACCGTGCAGGTGAAGTCCACAGCACTCTTGGAAAACATATGGAGAAACAAATTTGAAAAACAAGACCCATTTACGTCTTCAGGGGAGGGGTAGAGTAGACTGCACAACAGTAGATAACACACCTAATCATTGCAACATCGCTGCAATCCACCACCACCCAGTTTTTCAGGAAAAGTATATTCATCCAGAAAAGATTGAACAAAAGGACCAGGAAGGAAAGGTAGTACTTGCACAAACAGTATTCCAAACTCCAAGTAATCATATAAAT